TAAGACAGCTCAACGCATACAGTGGTAGGTCTGCCCACTCTTCCCAGTGCAGGACAGAAGGAAGATACTGGAATGAGTGGGGTTCCACACAAGTCTCAAAGTCACAGGACCGACCTGGGCACCAGGTTTCAAATGTCACATGCACCCACATTTACAGCATTAGAAGACACCTTCTTAATCTTCTTTCTCAAAATGACTATCCTCATCCCAAAACTATTAAGAGATCCCAGAAACTTCCGAAACAAGACTCATATAAAGGTCACTTCTCTGCTAACACAATCATTAACAGAATACAGTATAGTTATTAACTTCCTCCAGGTCACTTGGCCTGCCTGGCTATGTTTTCTCTAAAGTAACCATTTTGTTTTAATAACAAGATGTCAAAAATGCCCAACAATCAAATGGTATTAACACAAAATGAACGGAACTAGGAACCTTTTGCCATTCCTCTGCATACTCAAAAGCTGCATTTTGTCGGGGAAAGGTGTGTTACACTGTTGGGTTGATATTTTTATATTAAGGCTCTATTTATTTCTCCCTCCTGCAAGAAAGGATGCATGATCTTGCTAGCAGACAACATATTCCTTTCCAAAATTCAATCCAGTTTAGAGTCAACTGAGTTACTTTTATGGGACTCTACCTGCAAGGAATTTACAGTGTGAGATTAGCCCCTCTAGAGCTGTGGATCATAAAAGTACTTTTAGCTACCCCAAAGCCTCCAATTCTGTGAGCTATCATGCCATGATGAAAGATGTGGACCTGACATCCACATTAGACTCCTACCTGTCCCAATTCCCCAATTACCACCCTATGAGCCATGATGGACAAACACTTCAGTATCTTATGCAGCTGCAGATGGTGAATGAGTCAGACACCCCAATGAAAAGTTACAGAATCACTACATCATAGTCTAAACACATCTTTAAGGTATCTCAAAGATACCTCTGGCATATCCTAGAAAAAGCAAAACTATTCCAATGTTCTATCTTTTTAAAGATAGAAATCAAGACAAACTTCAAGGATCTTAAGACTTAAAAGAACCTGGAAGACTATCTAGTCCAATATCTGTGTCTTACACATGGAAAAAAAGCAAAGTCCAAAGAATATGAGTGTCATGAGGCAAGGCCAGAAGCGGTGATATAAGGGTTCTTCTTGTCCAGTGAGCTCCCATCCCACAAAGCTGTTTCTTTCTTTCGGTTAAGAGCTCTTCAAATTATCGTCAAACTCCTTACTCTACAAGCCATTCTGCTTTCTTAATTTTACAGGCAGAATTCTTAAGTAATGCATAATGAGAACCTACATCTAAGCTTTAACTATATCTCACCTTATTCTATTTCCAGGGAACGTGGTAGGATTCATTATTACTTCACATACAGAAGCACTTTCCAGATTTCATTCCTCTTGTTTACAAACTTGTCTATTACCAAGGGTAAGTTTTTCTATGCTTCAGTTTTCTAAAACAAAGATGAACGGCCACATATCTAAATACATTCCATTTATTCCAGAAATAATAACTATTATTAATGTCCCTGAACACTGTCAAGTTAACTATATGTAAAACATTAAGGAAACTTAAAAAAGTTCCTTGGTTTTTAAAAGCAAGATAACCAATTATTCAGGATAAAGTGTCTTTTCCATCAAAGACTCGAAGTACCTTCAAATGAGAACCGCAAACTTCTGCAAATCCATCCCTTTCGGGACATAAAGAGTAGTAATGCTGCCCTCCTATATATAGAGTAAATAAGTCATGCAAGATCGTAAGCCAAATAACCATAGTAGAACCAGAGCCCAGAAACATCAGGGCAATGAGCCTTCCTCAGTACTACAAAGATACACTCTTAAATACTCAACTACCAGAAATAATCTATGCCTTTAAACTTTTCAGAACTGAACTTAAAGTTGAATGAAAGGGGCTGCTAGCAAGGATAGTAGATGAAATATCTGAAAATAATTTGTAGCCCTAAGCCTAACAGATTTTCTTATCTTCCTTTTTATGTGTACTTCTTAGAATAGGAGGCAAGTAAAGCATTTGTACTGTGTCCTTCAGCTATGAACAGCTGTATTTCAGACAACCAGCAAGGTTTGAGGGTGAAGTTTTAAATAGTCACTTCTGAGTAAGATTTCTAAGAAACACTCTAAATACAGCAAAGTGACTCTAGGAGTCTATCGAACACTGGCTTTGATGAGGGAAAAGAAATAACAAGAGCCAGGCACTAGTAACTTTACCAAAAATCAATACTTTGAAAGAAGCCAATTCTCTGAATTCCAAAGATTCATACATTCTTGAACATAGGTATTATTTTCCCTAAGGAGGACTCTCATACAAGCACACAGACACATACAAATACAAATAAAATAACTGCAGCAAAAAAATGCTGTGCTTGGCTTATGCAATTTACTTGAAATTTTAGTGTTTATGTGGGTAAAGACTACATTTACACACATCCCCTCCCAGAGATGCTTTATTGTTTAAAGAGAAGGAAATTCAATGACATTAAACTAATTAGAAACATTTTTACTACAAAAACTTATTTTCTTCCTTTCTCTTTTGTGTCCATCTCCCTTTTATCTCTACAAAAACATTCTCCCAACCTACCCCTATATGAATCCTAACTAAATTATAGGACATTCCTCAAGTCCTATATACCTCCTCCATTCAAGTAATCACAAACTAGTCTTGCCAGTACTGATCACTAACCTTCTCAGAACATGATCCACACAAAGAAAAACAGTGCACACTTCCCGTCATCATGTATATTCATTCCATGCTCAACTAGCTAAACAAAGAGTTCCTCGAATTCAAAAACTTCACTCCATACTTAGTTCCCTTTGTGCCTGGACACTGGGTTATGCTTTCAAAAACTAGCTTCAGTTAAGTATCAGTATTTTGGGAGGGAAGTATATTAAGCATTTTTAAAAATCCGCCCCCAAATATCTATTGTTATAAAGCTTACTAAAATGAGATTTTTGTGATCAATTCTAAGTCCTGGCTTTATTCACTCTCATGCTTTGGAGAGGTAGCCAGGTCAGAGTCCCAGCTCCATCACTTTCTAGATTTATGACCCTGAGCAATTTAATTCATCTCTCTCGGTCTTTTTCTTTATCTGAATAAAACAACCGTCCTGAGTTATTGATGAGACAATGAATGCAAATCTCTTAGTATCTGCTTAATAGGTGGTCAACAAATAGTAGTTACTACTACTTTGTTAATAAGGAGGAAAGAAGAAAGAAGCGTGACACTGCATTACTGTTGGAATGTATATTTTGTTTAGTTATTTACATATGCCTATATAGAGGTCTGAGGAGTTACAAATATCAAAAAATGACATTTCTAACAAAAGTAAGAAGGGTGCAGTCTGGAGACCTTGGGAGGAAGGAACATTTTGGGAAGAAAAAAAATGATTTTTTAAAATACTTTTGTTGTTAATTTAAATAAAATTCACTTTTTGTCCACTGTTCTTTGATTAGAATTAAGTCTTTAGAGATTATGAAGTGTTGCTTACAAAACAGTAACAGGATATTATTTTTATTTTGTGTAACTAATTTTAAGACTTGGATTATATTTTTGGTAGAATGAACCAGGTTACCATCACAGGAATGCGGAAGCAGATAAATGCGGTTTCCCCACCTATACTTAGTATCAGATACATCTGTTAACCTTCTGTTCAAATTCTGCTCCAGAAATACAGTGAGAAAATCTTTACTTAATAACCAAACAGGGTTTATTAATGTGCACTGTTTCAATAATATTAGGCAAGCACCGGAAAACATAAGGACACCTACCAATCCGATCTGCAAACTCTAGAGGAAAAACAAAAACAGGCCACAAACCCATGAAGCCAAGATGATAGGACTTTAAACCACAAGATGACTCGGAAAAGTTAGAAACAAAATCTTATAACCAAGACAGCAAGAATCTTAGGATCAAAGCACCAAGACTTTAACTAATACTCAGTCACAATGGTAGTCAATGAAAATTTGTTATAAATCAGAAAAGAAAATTATCTTAATTTTGAGTCCTCAGAACCTAGCACAGTGCCTGGATCAAAGAATATTGGCTAAATCATTAAGAACAAATGTATTTAATGAATGATATAAAAGAGAATCCAGCATATAGCTATTCTCCCTCCTTTAAAGCATTAAAATAGACATGGGAACTTTTAAATATTAGATATGCAAAAAATAAAACAGGAAAAAAAGAAACCTAAGGCTACTCTCCAGGAAAAAAAGAAATCACATCCAAATGTCTAGTTTGTGAACCTGTGACATCTTCAGCAGTTAATGCAAACTTATGTTTTGCCTATCACCAAAACACTTATTGTCAACATACAAAAGCACCAGAAATCAGCTGTCCTTGATCTATATTCCTCTTTCAGAATTACGGCAATCTTCACTATAATGAATGATAGTAAATTTTGTTTTCTGCAAATTTTAAACATTACAAACAAACCAAAATCCTTATTTCTAAATTCTATCTATGTAATGGGTGACTAGCTCAGGCCTCAATCTTCTCGAATTATTTACCAAAAATCTCAATTCCTTCTTCACAATGAAACTGCAAACAACATCCTAAAAAGCTGCAACATCCTCTAAAAATAGGTTATCAATATATTGACTAGCAGCCGATCTAAAAACTCTCTTTCACTGCAAAAGAATCTAATGACTGAAAAATGAAGCAAAGGTAAGGACATTTGATGCATATAAAACTAAGTTATTTTGTAAAATTTTAACACCTCAATTTCCAACTGACTGGTTAAGATAATATTAATTTGTGCTTACATTTTGGTTTTATTTTTAACATATTAGGCTAAAGTTAACATTCTCCTTATAATGAGATAGTTTTGGCAAAATTCTGCAATACCCCACTCCTATCATGAGGATGGCAACAAGGAAAAGCAAGCACATACTTCTGGAGACTAGATTCGGACACATTTGATGAGAGACAGCTCCAACCTTCCCTTAAAAACAGACCCACATTTCTGACACACCAATTTACTTACCTCTCCCATCGCTCTTCCCTCCAGAGCAAGTGCTTGAAAATCATGATTCAGTTCATCCATAGAACGTACCTAATGTTTAGAATAGAGGAGGAAAAAGTTTCACATTAGCACCTTGAATTTTACATGCACATTAAATACAACTGAAAAGCTTTTTGATGTTTACTTTCACATATTGACAAGGAAACTAACAATAATCAAGTGACTAAGATTAAATATTCACTTACCTTTAACCATCAGGTTTAGCAATGATCCCTGCGCTTTCTCCCCTCCCAATCCCTTTTGCTTTCAAACATGAAAAACACAGAATCCAAAAAAAGAAAAAGGAAACTGCATCACACGAGAATTACGATAGCTATTGTTCATACATTTTAACTTAGTAAGTAAGATAAACATGTTTAAGGGCAATAATGTATGTAGACGATTATGTGACCTAAACCTTGCTACTGGCTCTAAGACCACAGCTTGTCCACAACTGTGAACAGTTAAGTACAAATAAGGGGACTCCTTTGAGCCAAGCTAGTATGTCTTTGACAACCTCAGGGGAAAAGGCACTACAAACTACATAACTGAGTGCCCTCAACATTTCTCCAACTTGGAAGATCTCTGGGAGCGCCTAGAATCTCAAAACCAGGAGAAAAAAATCAGCAAGTATCACAAGAATCCCTTCAAACTTTACCTAATTAAATGTACTACCTACATCATAATAATCTTTCTAGATTTCAATTAACTCATCTTCAAGGTCATTACTAGAAGGCAATATTTAACAGCAAGAATGAAGTGTGGAATAGATTACACAAAACAGTCATAACTCAAAAGCCCTTTTCTGTCCAACAGTCTACTGGACCTCTCAGTTATGAGCAAGAAGCCACCTTTGCTAAAGCTAGAGTACAGTCCCTCGTTCATTAAAAAGGCAGGATTTCCAGCCTACCTAAGAAAGATGGCTGACTGCCTGAAGTGGAACATTCCCAAACCCCCTCATCTAATCATCACTACCTCCAAATGTATATGTACAATGTCTAGCACTGGGTGAATGCAAAGAGCCAAACTAGAGCCAGGCAGGGGGAGAGCAGAGCATGGAACATGAACTAGAATACAGCTGGAGGGATCAATTTAGCAATTTTATTAGCATGCTGCCTGTATACCACCCAATAATCCTAATTCTACCCAGGTGACAGCACATAAAAATACAGTCACATTGTTCTGAATTATACATTTTCAAGACCCAATGCTACAAATGATACATTGTGTCACTAAGATGTAACAGTTTTGGGATGCTTGTCAAAAATGTAAATTTATAAAATTCAAAATGACGCTCAACTTAAGCCATATAAGAACAAAGAGACATAGAGATAAGACTTGTTACTGTAGTAAACAGTTTCAAAGGGCCTTGAAACAGAAGCTAGGGTCACAATACAAGCCATTTACATTACTCAGGTAAGCACACTGAATAAGCTCCTAAACTTCAGGTGGTTAAAATAAGGAGGGGCGATGAGGACACAATCTTAGCTAGAAACTCTACAAACAATAGATAAAATCAATTTGAACCTTCAAGACAAATAACATTTACAAGGCATGTAATTTAAAGGCATATAAAATTCTACACTATTAGGAGCTCTTCCTATGGAATCTATAAACATGCTTTTAACTAGATGCTGGGAGTTTCCCTAAAATTCAAAAACCTACAAATAGTTTTAACCAAGAATGTTAGAATTCTATTTATGTCTCCCAAGAAAAAAGTAGGAGTGGCTACAAAAATGAAAAAAGGGCTTCCCTGGTGGTCCAGTGGTTAAAAATCCGCCTGCCAACGCAGGGACATGGGTTCAATCCCTGGTCCAAGAAGATCCCAAATGCTGTGGGGCAACCAAGCCTGTGCAACACAACTGCTGAAGCCCATGCACCTAGAGCCTGGGCTCTGAAATGAGAGATGCCCTTGTGCTGCAACTAGAAAATAAGAGAAAGCCTGAGTGCAGCATGAAGACTCAGCACAGCCAAAAAGAATTTTAATTAATTAAAAAATGAAGAAAGAAAGTGGAAATGGTAAGGAAGGTAGAGAACATGCAATGTGCATATTGATGTTATCATCACAGCAATCTCACAGTAATTATTCCTATTTAACAGATTAGAACTGAGCCTCAGAGATACTGCTCAGTCAGTTCAGTCGCTCAGTTATGGCCAACTCTTTGTGACCCCATAAAATGCAGCATGCCAGGCTTCCCTGTCCATCACCAACTCCGGGAGCTTACTCAAACTCATGTCCATTGAGTCGGTGATGCCATCCAACCATCTCAGCCTCTGTCATCCCCTTCTCCTCCCAAGAACACTTTCTCTGTCAACCACTGTTAAGCAGGGAAGTGCACTTAGATGGCATTTCCAGGATCTAAATCCAGGTGTTCCAATTTTGGTGTCCTGTCCTGTCTGTCACCAAGCTACATCCAGGGCAGCCACAGGAGGATGCCACCCCCAGACAGAGGTGCCTTCAGTTTTTGCCAAGGGCCTGGACAAGCGTGTCCTCTTGGTATTCTTGCCTTTCCTTCCCAACTGTTAATTCCCCCCACCTTCACAATTTGCCCCTCCTGCCCTCACAGCGATTTCCACCCCTTTCTATACCGCCTTCCACCTACTCTTCATTCTCTTTCCTACCACATTGCACCTGTCTCTGTCTCACTCACAAGGTGAACCGCTCCTCCTCCCACCTCCTTGAGACAATGAGAAAGGAGCTCACTTTCTGAAGTCTGCTTTGCTAGTACAAAAACCATTTGCCCTTGGTTGAGTGGACAAGATAAACCAAATCACTCTCACAAGTGTTTATAACAAGTCAGGTATTTATTGTTTATAATGGGAGCTGTACTTGGTATGATCATCAACATGAGGCAGACTCCACAAAACTCTTCCCAGAAAACAAAACTAATAATCAGAAAAAGATGCTCAGGAATCAAAAGAAATCAAGTTATGAAAACCCAGACCACTGTAAGAAACGTCCTGGGCAGGTTAACAAAGAAACTTACTCTATTATGAAGGAGAAAAGCTAGCTGTAAATTATAACCAGAGAAAATGCTCCCATCAGGACAGAACTATCTTTAAGTTCTTATACAACTATACCTCCCCCTTTTCTCTAGTATTCAATTTGAGTGATGAGTTAATGCTAATGTTTCTTTAATTAAAAGTTTACTAATTTAATGAAAAGTTTACTAATTTGTGGCTCAGCTGGTCAAGAATCCGCCTGCAATGCAGGAGACCTGGGTTCAATCCCTAGGATGAGAAGATCCACTGGAGAAGGGAAAGGCTACCTACTCCCGTATTACGGTCTGGAGAATTCCATGGACTTTACAGCCCATGGGATCACAAAGAGTTGGACATGACTGACAGACTTCCACTTTCAATTTCATCTTCACTTCTGCTGAATGTCTATAAGACTTCCTTCCTTCTACTAAATAATCTATTCCCTTCGGTCTCCCAAAACTACTTCCTATTTTTGTCTTTGGGCTACTGGCCAGTGACTCATCTTACACCCATCCAGTTTCTCTACTGCTGCCCCTCCCCATAAAGTCATCTCTTACTCCCTTTTACTAAAGCCACAAAGCAAGATAACCACCTTAGGGTCTGACCTACCTCATATCCTTCACTTCATCCCACCCAAGAAGGATCATCTGTACAAATGACGAAGTTTCTGAGTTTCCTTTCCATTTCCCAGATCTTTCTTTTGTAAGCCTTCTGCTTCTAACAAGGATCTTTTCCTAACCAAAATCATAATTTTGAAAATTAAACTGGTGTTTTACCAAAATCAGTCAGTCAGTCCAGTCGCTCAGTCGTGTCCGACTCTTTGCAACCCCATGAATCACAGTACGCCAGGCCTCCTGTCCATCACCAACTGCCGGAATTTACTCAAACTCATGTCCATCGAGTTAGTGATGCCATCTAGCCATCTCATCCTCTGTCATCTCCGGCTCCTCCTGCCCCCAATCCCTCCCAGCATCAGGGTCTTTTCCAATAAGTCAACTCTTCGCATGAGGTGACCAAAGTACTGGAGTTTCAGCCTCAGCATCAGTCCTTCCAATGAACACCGAGGACTGATCTCCTTTAGGATGGACTGGATGGATCTCCTTGTAGTCCAAGGGACTCTCAAGAGTCTTCTTCTCTAACACCACAGTTCAAAAGCATCAATTTTTTGGTGCTCAGCTTTTTTCTCAGTCCAACTCTCACATCCATACATGACCACTGGAAAAACCATAGCCTTGACCAGACAGACCTTTGTTGGCAAAGTAATGTCTCTGCTTTTTAATATGCTATCTAGGTTGGTCATAACTTTCCTTCCAAGGAGTAAGCGTCTTTTAATTTCATGGCTGCAGTCACCATCCGCAGTGATTTTGGAGCCCAAAAAAATACAGTCTGACACTGTAGGAAGTTATAAAATCAAAATAGATAAACACAGAACTATACATCACATTTGGAAAATGAAAAACTAAGCAAATGCATCACTTTACAAATCTTTAAGAATGATATTCAAAACTGCATTCCTTGAGAAGCCCTACTTATCAATACCCAACATCCCATACCCTTATCAGAATCAATGAATGATATACACTTCACTATTTCCATCTGTAAAACTGAGGTAGCACTGACTACTTGACACATTTGGTATAAAGATTAAATGAAACATGTCCAATACTTAGATACACTTCACTATCTCCATCTGTAAATCTGAGGTAGCACTGACTACTTGATATACTTGCTATAAAGATTAAATGAAACAACATGTCCAATACTTACTAGGCATATATTCAACCACATCCACTTCACAGTTTCTTCTCTTTAAGTTACTGAAACGTCTCCATGCATCCATCTTTTTTTTCCCTATCCTCAGTTTTGGTCATTTCGGGGAGGGGAGCCTCTCTCTACAAGTCAGCATTTTCATAATCAGTATTAGAAGCCCCTAGATCACACACACATCTAACTTACTTTCTAAAACTTAGCATTTCAAAGTACAACCATTTTTTCTCTTCTCGATTCTCAACCAAATCATCAATTCAGAGAAATTTACACTCTCCATTCTAATCAGTTCAGAAACTTCT